AAAAAAAAAACAACAGAGAAACTTTGAAAATGATAATCTTCCCAAAGTTTTAGTGCACACTTCATGTTTATGATTATTCTTATATCCGAATTATGTGAAGTTGATAGAACCTTTAGTATTTTGTTTTTAAATTTCAGCTGGATACGTTAGTAGTCTCTGTTTGAGTTTCCTTAAATACCCCAAATCCTCTAGTTTACAGTCTTTCTTGCAATAACATTTGCATAGTTGTCTGACAGAATTGCTTTGCTCATGAACAGCTATCTTCTAACACCAGAAAATGACGCAGAATTTTCTAAATCAGAGCCGTTACTCGTATAATCGTTATATTATTTGAAGTTTTATAAATAGCTTTGTTCAAGTGATGGAGATATTTAAAACACCAAAATTTTAAATTTGACAATAAAATGACCATAACTTTTATGTTTACTTTAGATACATATTTGTTCAATGAATACTCTATTTCTGAAAAATCATTACAAGAAAAAAGAATTTCAGTAAGGCAAATATATACTGCAATGTTTTATGAGCAGAAAATTCTACAAGTCATTCTTATTAGACTAAAAAATTATTTCTGCTACAGTTATTATCACGAATTACCTTCTGACATTTATAAGTGGTTATGTCATCAATATTTCTTTGTTTTACTTTAAAAAATAAAAGTTTTTTTAAGATAGATAAAAAAGCGAAGTATTGTATTCTTTAAATATTGTTGATATGAATAGAGTTTTAAAAAAAAAATTTTTTTTTTTTGCGTTTACTTATTATTTATTGAATCAAAACAATTGAAAACGATGATGCTGTAAATGTCAAAAGAGATAGTCTGTTGCAGTGACGGCAGTATTTTACCATTTTAGACTAATTCTTCTTTCCACAAAATATTCAAAAAAGTGTAAAACGTCACTTTATATATAAAAGGTATTTTTTACTTCAGTCACCAAATTTTCTTGTTGACTTATGCAACACATACAGATATTGTTTAAAATTTTTTCTTTCTAACTTTTGCTACGAATAAAACTGTTTAATAAAGTTTTGTGTTAAACGCTTTACCGTTTTACTGATATACTATCACTAATTGATGTGTCTTTTTCGCGGTGACATTGACAGTCAAATATCAGAACGTTAGCGAAGACGCGAGCATTTTATTAACAGCTACTTTAGAAATGAATCTTCTATCGATAACTTTCCTGTTGTTCATAATGAGTAGCATCGGTTCTCCTCAATGTCCTAATGCTCTGAGACCTGGCCCATCTTGCCGAACTATTGAAGAATGTCCTAATCTAGAGCCGTACTGCAGAAACGACGAACAGTGGTGCATTAATGGAACTTGTTGCTCAAAATGTACCAAACATTGACGTCTACCGTGATGGACTCTCAAGAAACATATATCTGTCAACAGTGTTTCAGGATTAAAAATGGCCAAATCCTTCGAAATATTTAAATTTTTTCTTTGATAAAGGTGAAATTTTTTTCTGAAGCTGTCTAAATGTTACATATTTTGATAGCTGTTTGCAAATCTATTTATACTTTTGTCTCCGACATAAAATTATTTTTGAAATACTTTTATGATTTGAATATTTTGCCGGTAGTAAGCTCAAATAAATTAATTTGAACTGACAATAATCTGTGAGGTGAAAATTTGTTCAAAATTTAAAATGTATCCAAAATTGTAACTGCAGAACAAACCTATCAGATAAACAAAGATTTCTCGAAAAAATTAGTAGAAATAGATAAACAAAGTTCTCTCAAGTAAAATATCATGGTGATAAAGGAATGTGCTAAGCTTTCATGTCTGTCAATTATTTTTTCTTTATCTTTACGTCTTCACTTCGTATAACCGTTACGCTGATTACTCTTAGCCAGTGAGTCACCACAGTATTTCCTTTTGGTCATTTTATTTCTGAGACAATAAGCTTATTGATAAGACAAATATCAATACTGAACTGCATAAAATCCGCGTTATTAGCAATAAGGTTTATTCTAATTACTTTGAGAGTAAAGTATTCTTGTACGTGTTCAAAAGAAAGTTAACTATTTAGAAGCAAAAATCAAAAAGTTCTTTTCGCTTTATGCTGAGAACTATGAGAAACATATGACTGATAGTTGGAAATCTCAAAAAAAAATTATTCACTTTGTTGGGAACTAAATAAAAAGTGTAGTTCATAGTATATTTATTTCTACTATATAGTGTACAACGCAAGATTATCAGTAAATTGTTCTTCAAATCGTTAGTCACAAGGCTTGGAAGAAATAGGTTATGAGAAACACCAAGAAAATTTACTTATTATGGCTATTGAACTACAGTTTTTATAAGGTTCTATCACTGAATAATTCATTAGGTTGTGAACGTGGTTAAGTAGAATTTGGGAGACAGTCACTGATAAAAAAAGTAGCCTGTGTATAACCGTTGACTGATGCTTCTCTTTTCTGTTATTATTTTTATTTTTTAATTTTTTGGAAGGTGAGGAGTCAAATACGAATGAGTTGGTTTGTTTGTCAGTTACTTGCTCCTCACAAACTCAGAAAAAGTGCAATTTCTCCAGAATGGGGAGCAGAGTCTTAAAACGGAGAAAAGTGGTATGTAATCTGGTAAATTTTCATCGTAATAACAACAAAGTAACCTGTGTCGCGAAGTTAGGAAACGTTTTGACAGTGGGAAGGCAAAGTATAAAACCGAGATCATAGAAGAATTTAGTGAATAATCTTAGCTCTCTGTTTAGAACGATTCAGGCCACGTTTTTTAGTAAAACCAGTTGTTAGTCAGCCACAAAGCTATTAATTTCTAATTAAAATACTGGCGATTTTTATCAGATGCAAATTAAATTAAAAAACTCTTCACTTCAGATTATTTGAAAATTTTTCAGTTTTATCGACGCTTCTTTTTCTCTAATGATGGCAAAATAAGGCAGATATATAACTTATAAAGCTTTTTAGAGGAAGCATGTTTGTTCTATGCTGCTATATTTGTCTATAACTTAACTGCAACTAAATCTTTAGAATAGGCAACAGAGCACAAATTTGACTTCCACCAATAAATCTGTTAACTTCCAAAACGTTGGCCAGGATACTAAATCAGGAAATGAATGCTCCTCTGAGTTCGTCGTTGAATCACTGTCAAACCAAATGAAACCAATGTGACTGCGAAAAAACTCTTTGTTCAAAAATAAAAAAGAAAATTTACAAAGTCAGATGACACTTTCAAAGCGTTTTAAAACAAAAGCGGTTACTAGATTTTCAAATGTAAAGAAATCAATTTAGTGAACTTTTTACAGTGACTGCAGCAGTTGCATGTTAATAGCGCACAGCAACTGTCCAACGGTGTGCTACAGCTACGGAATGGTACACAGCTACTAAAGCCTGCAAATGTCTATCCAAAATCTCTGAAGCCAAACGATGGTTGAGAAGCAGATAGAGCCTCTAGTACCAAACATGGCATGACGAACTTCTGCAGCTGTCACAACATCAGCAGGGTTACTTGAGTCAATTGCATAGTCTTCAAGTTTCATATTGATACCACAATCGACTGAAAATGGGTGAACAGTATAGGCAACTGCGGAGTTTAGACTCATAGTGTAAATTAAACACGATTGCATGATACGTATAAAAGTCTCAGCAGCAAGGTTCACTATGAAACGACCGCATTTCGAGATGTAGTGAGAAAAGCACTATGGTGAGCAATAACGACAACCTCTGAAACTCAAACCTAACCATCAGACTTTCCTCACCTTACTCAGTTTTGATTTTGACTGGAGCCTTCTAAAATGCTAAAGGTCTTGACCACTTTAATAACTATTTTTTTAATCCTATTTTTTTTTTAGTTTTGTTGATTTTATTAGAAATTTCACTACTAAGTTCACTACTGAAATTCACACTTTAAATATCGTTTTTCCTATAGAATCATTTGCTACCACTAATTGGCTTTTGTGTGATGACAAACTGCTAATTAAAAAACTATAGTCAGTCTAAATCGTAATTGAGAAATTTTGAAATATTTAAGATTACTGCGTAAAATCTGTAGCAGATTAAAAATGCGCCGGTAAATAATGATACGACATAAAGTGTTTGTTTTGTTTGGAGTCAATAACAATATCTGCCATAATCAGATGTGGTTGTCTCCCTATTCGGTTGACAAGAGAGCATAAATGAGATTGGAAGATTGGAAGACTTGTTAAGTGCCACAGACAAAGCTTTTTCGTGAAATATAAATCATTTTTGATTAAAATATCTCGATCTTTTGCTGTAAACAATGAGTTCTCTTCGTGCGTCGACTTATCATTGGCAAAATGTTTCTGGCAATTAAAAGCTGTTGTTCCTTACAAATAAAACTGTTGCTTCGTTTTGTAGTTATGAGGTATGTCAATTTCAGAAGTGTTGCTAAAGTTCCGCGTAAACAAATGACAAACTTTCCTCATAACACATTTTAAAGATGAAGCAAAGGGTAACCATTCTGTTAGTTAAAAAAAATTTCTGCTTTCATCAAAGTTGTTTGTAAAAAAAAATAAATTTCTTCACTTTACCGTTGTTCCTCTACTTAATGAAATGCTGACTTAGTTGAGAAAACTTTATAAATTTTACCTGGAATAACATTGTAAAGCAAAATAATTGCTGTAATTGCTCACGTGATATCCATTACCCAGAATAATTTATATTTGCAGCTCTATCTAAATTCCATTACTAGTTCCTTTACACGCTTGCTTCTCTGTAGCGTCTAATTAAAAAAATTTTTTTTTGAATTGACAGGTAAAACCGTAAAATAAGGTTAAATAATTACCAGAGTACAATAGAAATAACCAGTGGTCTTCTTCATCAACTTCCTTCAACTGCACTGATTAAGTAGAAACTGCTAATGAACTGATGTACTTTTAATCCAGGTTATATACAAATACACGTAAGCGCAAGAGTACCACCAAATTTAACTCAAACAACAATCTACAGCTTTATCCCATGTATTACAGAGGAACTTCATAGAAAGTACTAATCTTTCGGGATGTTGAAATCGCTAGGTTGCTCACAACTGTAAGCTTTCTTGTCACTTCTTAAACGTATCGGTTTACCAAAACCGCTGACAAATAATTCAAGTATACTTCTACTTGAAAAGACATCCAGATTTTCACGGCTCTTATCATTGTTTCTCATTGTAAAAACTCATCTGGTAATTAGCACAGCTCTATCTTACAATTGTTCAATTATTAACAAAACAGACACTATCTCAAATTCGCAGTTTCAATGAAACGTTGAAAAAAATAAATGCTGCCAACTATGAAACGAAGGCGATGCTGCTGCTTTAATTATGGCACAATCCGAAAAAAAAGCTTTTTTTGGAGCACATTAGTTCCAAAAAATTGGTATAACACAAGACAGTCGGTAGTGTTTGCAGTGCCAACTAACTTCTGGTCACTCTTCGCAACATTGGCCATAAGGAGGTGGAGGGAACAGATGAAAATCATCTGCACCGCGATGAGGATAGTGGTTTGAAGGTGACGAAGAGGATGTTTTCTCTGACTTAAATGCCTCATGGTCATCTGGAAAAACGAATGGAGCGACTGTACGAAAAATTGGAGAATTTGCAGAAGCTTCAAGAGCGGCTTCATAGCTTGGAAGCGGCGGAAGTTTTGCAGTTTCATCTCTTTGTCCACTGCTGAAAGAGAGCCATTTACTTCCCCAAATTGTTCATCAGTTAATTCAAAAAATATATTAATCAACAATTGGGGACGTGATTATTCTACAGTCCCTCGCAACTTGTTCGCAACGTGTTATCACTATTCTTCATAATGGTCATACTCTTACTTTTCGATGATTTCTGTTCACTTATGTTCGTAACACACCCATGCCGTCTCAAAATGAAGATAAGGTATGACACCACGTTCAAAGATCACATTACCATACTTCAACAACAGTGATCAAATTTACCTGTCTCTCATCCTCATGGAAGCGAACCGAAGATGATAGAGTAAAAAGATAACAAATAAAAGTACAATTGCATACACTAAATAAAGGCATACAAATCCCAAATATTTGTTTTCCTTTCCTGAAATACAATTGCCGGGTACTATAACAATATTAATAGTTTATCAGATAGCATTTAAATCAAAGAAGAAATTGAAATTAGAAAACTGATCATAGATTACAAAAATTTTTTAACTACTTGAGGCTTACCACAGTCTTTCTCAGTTGAGTCTGTTGATTTGTTCTGGTAAATTTTAATGTCATATATGTACACATCATTATTTGATCGAATGCTGGAATTTAATTCTTTGACGTCATAACAAAAGAACCCCTTTTTTGGATAAAATGAATAGTACGTGAAAACGCTAATTAGAGCAATCAGATTTACAAATGAAAATATCTGCAAATTATTATATTCATTAAACTTATCATTAAATTATTAGATATTAAAAAAAATTTGTTAGTTTATAGAATTCAACAAGTGTATGATGCCTATCTGAATAAACTTTGAACACTCATTCAAAAGCCAAGTTAAAAATTGCATGACTTTTATAACAAAAATTTTTTATAATTTATAAACTTATAAGTGCCAAAAAAATATGTATTCATAAAATTAAAAATAGAAATTAATAGAAATACTGACGGTAAGTAAAATCGGTGGACTGGTCAGCGTATGTTTAAGCAAAATTGAACAATAATAAGTGAGAAGGAAAACAACAAATACAACTGCAGTTACATCGGGTATATAATAGGTGGTCAAACACCACGCAGGTAATGATACAATTACAGATAGGAAGATTGAAACAAGTTGAATTACCTGCAATAAAATTAAACTATTATTACCAAAAAAAAACCTCAAAAAAATATGAATTGCTTTAATTAGGTGATTTAAAACAATAATAAATGAAAAAAACTGTTAGTAGTTTGACGAAAAAAAAAATTATTTAAAAGAAAGGCAGAATAGCTGTTCCCTAATGAGCAAACACCAAAAGGACAATATTTTACAGCAACCCTAAACTTTGCACTTCATTGTTTTAATTTCATGGCGACTTAATTTTTTTTCACTATTTCAACAACTCGTAAAGCAAAAGAAAAGAAAAGTACCAATTTGTTATTCATTTTGCATTAAAAACCGTAGATGCTTAAAACAGGAAACTGTTATCGAACCGCGAAATAAATACCATCCAAAACAGCTTCTTTTACCGTCTTAAAATGAACGTTCAGAATGGTGAAAGTCCAAAGCTTGTTCACTTTTCATTCGCCTCGAACACCCTCTTTCACCAAGAAGACTAAAAAATGAACAGTGGGTAACAAAGTTGACATAAACTAAAATTGTTGGTTTACAAATGAAAAGCATTTAATCTATAATACTGTAAAAGTTCACCAGAAAGCTGCTTCATAAAAATCAAAAATAGCTTTTAAACGGTCAGCTTTCTTTTAGCTTTGTCACAATAAATAGTGGAAAAAAAGGGCAAGTAGCATAAGAACAATAAGCTGGAAAAAAAAAATTAAATCACAGCGAAAAATCATACCCAAATCAGTGTTGAAATACTGCAGTATATTATGTAAAACCTTCTTTCTCTGTGATCAGTAACTTCCTTTTCCAAATAATTACGTTAATCGCTTCAGTAATACGTTAAGTCAGAGTCGAAATAAAAACTTTATGACAGTGAAAAACTTCAGCTAAATATATTATACTTGAAAAAAAAATGCAGTTCTTTTTTTTTGGTTTTATAATACGCATAAATAAAAAAAAAGAGCATCAACAATAAAAAAGTGAAATTAATAAAGACCGAAATTAATAGAACAAAGTTCTACTCTTTGGCAGACTATTTTTGGCGACAAAAAAGCAACAAGCTATAAAGAAATTTCTTTTGTTTGCTTATCTTTTTTTTTTGCAGTCGACTACAGTTTAAAAGAATGTGAAGAAATTACAGTTTGTGAATGATCAGTATATATTAAAAGCAAATTTCACTTTCGTAGGGAAACAGTTTTGGTAGATGTCGGAGCTAAATGCCAGAATTCGAAAAACAATATAACTGTGAGGCATTTTTTGATTGAAAAAATTGCTTAAACAGTGTTAATGAGAGAAAAAATTTAAATAAAAATGACGGATCTTTTTGGAGTTCAGTGAGTCATCAAACGGGAAAAAAACTTTATCA